GTGTGACATGTGGAGTTCATGTTCAGTTTTAAGAGCAGATACATTCAGCATTTATTGAGATGTAAAAGTGCATGCATTTCAATGAAAAACATCCTCATATATGCGTATGAAATCTAAATCAAAGATAGATCGACTGAAAAAGGTGAACTTCATGATCCCCGAGCAGTTTAACGATTCATAACCTGGGGAAGTCCAGGCTGTTTTAGTGATGCTGCTGGTTATTACAGTAGACTGAGCTGAGTCACCGGAGAGAGTTTCCCTCAGGCGGGAACGACTCGTACAACCGCAGGCTCACCGGAGAAATACTGCACTTTGATACTGAGGTTATGCATGAATGGAGGTTTCTTGCTTTCTTGCTAGTTTTATATTGGGAAAGATAAAGCGTTACAGTATCTTGAGAAAGAGAGAGAATATTCAGGCAGATTAAGGAAGTTAATATTTTGACCAAATAATGCAGTGTCATATTTACTATTGCACAACCTAGAGCAAAATAAATAAATAAATAAATAATAATAACAATAAAGAGAAAAGTTAAGAAATGGGAATGGTACAATAAAAGTAAAAAGGTTTAGTCTTGTTAATGTCATGCATAATTATACTTATTGGAAAGCTATGAGTGATGTTTTTTTTTTTTTTTTTTGTAAAAAACATTCATTAAAACCATGTAAAAACCATAAATAAAGCAATTAAAGTGAATGAAGAATTCGATTAAGTTTTTAGTTTTTCTTCATTTTATAATACTTTTCTTTTACTCTATTTCCACTATGTTCATTTATGTAATTTTAGGGATTTTTTGCACTGCTTGTTTTGACCATACACACGACACGTTATTGTCACGTCAATCTAGCACACATTTTTGCCTTGAATTTCACAAGAAAAGGGCAGAATGTGATGAATATTAGATGATGACAGTTTGAACTTTGAGATCCCAGATCCAGGAGCTCCTGAGGCAGAACGAGTTCTTAAATCCAGTCCGTGTTTTCTTTATTCTGAGACTGGCCACTGGGCTGTGCGCTTTCTTTCTTTCTTTCTTTCTTTCTTTCTTTCTTTCTTTCTTTCTTTCTTTCTTTCTTTCTTTCTTTCTTTCTTTCTTTCTTTCTTTCTTTCTTTCTTTCTTTCTATTTACTTTTTATTAACTAATTATGTTGATGTTATTCAACATGATGTTATGTTATTCTCCCCCCCCCCTCTCTCTCTCTATGTGTGTGTGTGTGTGTGTGTGTGTCAAAAAAAGGCATTAACACCATTTAATTGATTCAATGTATTGTTGTTTATTTTAGATTTTTTGATTTCATAAAATTATTATGATTTTTACAATTTGATTTTTATAGATGTTTTCCTCTAAGAGATGTTTCCTCTGTTATATATATTTTATTTTAAAAAAAATAATGAATATATATATATATATATATATTATGAAAAATTTTGCTTCAGCATCTCCTGAGGCCAAAACGCCATACGCCTCCATGAATCCATTCCGTGTTTTTCCATGTTGTCAGACTCGCCTCTCTCTCTCTCTCTCTCTCTCTCTCTCTCTCTCTCTCTTTCTGAGTGTGTGTGAAAGAGGGGGGGAGAAGGAGGATTGCTACTTTCTCTCCACTGATAGAAACACAGAGCAGAAGTTGAGAGCGCGCCGCTCCGGATCTGTTCAGGAGGTTTCGCCGTTGCATTCGCGCACGCGTTCATTCCGAGAGGATCCGTTGGAGAATTCTGCGACGAGAAGATGCGACAGAGCGCGTGATTGATCATTGATTAGCGATTGCATGATTGAAACATTCGTCCACCTGCAGCTGGAGACGCCGGTGCGCTGAGCGCGTCTTGTGGGTTTTGCGCTTTTACGCATCGGCTGGATTTGCTCGCAGGAGGGATGTGGAAGACACCTGTCGTGGTTTTCACTTCTTTATCGCTTCTATTGTCGCTGTCGTGTGCTGGAGATGTAAAATCGCGCAGCTGCAGCGATGTGCGCCAGGCGTTCACGACCAAAGGCTTCAGTCTCCACAATGTGCCACATCAGGAGATACAAGGTGAGGACAAGGTGCCACATCACAAATTTCTGCTTACATGTCAGTTAGTAGAAAACCTACGCTCGGCTGGAGAACAGCTCGTGCTCGTGCAGCAGGTTTGCCTATTGATCATGTAATGATTTGTAAACGATTTACTTGTAAACTCACTCATGGAATAGCCTATAATGAATGAGATGGCCTCAATTATTGATCTTTGAAAACTTTTACTGCCACATTTGTCTTCATTGTTCATGGATATACAGGCAGCGTGATCTCGATTAGCTGTTACACCCGCAGAAGTTGGGTTACACTTTATTTTAAGGTGTCCGTGTTACAGTGTAATCATCCATCTTAGTGCTGTGCATATAGTTGCATGTAATTGTGCATAAGGTATAGTTAATATTACAGTAACTCCACACTCTAAAAAATGCTGGGTCGTTTTAACCCAATTTTGGGTCAAATATGGACAAACCCGAAATGTTGGGTTAAAAATGTAATGTAAAAATTTAACCCAACGGCTGGGTTAGTCCATATTTGACCCAAAGTTGGGTTAAAACAACCCAGCATTTTTTAGAGTGCATGTAACGTGTAACAACGACACTGAAATAAAGTGTAACCAAAAGTTGTTATTGAGCTGATATTATTGAACTGTTGTGCATCTTTGAACACCGAATTTGAAGAAGTCAATCTTATAGCACATATCAACTTTAGGGCTGTCAAACGATTAATCGCGATTATTCGCATCCAAAATAAAAGTTTGTGTTTACATAACGTGTAAATTATATATGTTTAATTATTTTGTATATATATAAATACACACATGCATGTATATTTAGGAAAATATTTAATATATTTATATAAGTCTATATACATGAAAATATTTCTTAAATATATACAAGCATGTGTGTGTATTTATATATAAAGGCTACACAGTGCACCCACATACATTATGTAAACACAAACGTTTATTTTGGATGCGATTAATCACGGTTAATCGTTTGACAGCCCAAAATAATTGTAATATTTGATGTGGTGTGATGAGTTGTGAATTACGTATATCTTAGTTTAAAAAGATAACAGCTAATATCAAAGCTGAGGTTCCGTGTATGTGTTGGACTGTTAAATTTGGTGTCTTTCTGCATGTTATCTGCAGAAATCATAAATTAAGATTTATTTTAAGATTTAAAATAAAGATAGATTTTTTTCTGAAATTGACTGAACCACAGACACAGAAAGATAGTTATATTATAACAACGCACCTTATTTAATTTCCTTCCCTCCATTTAGTTGAATCTCAGCAACTAAAAACACATACTTCTGCATCTGTGAGTAAATCTCGGGTTGGTGTATCACTTGCTTCTAAACTTCTCCTCATTGTAAGAGTTGCACTTCTTCATGCAATATAAACAGGCCCAGTAGGTGGCCCTGCTCACTCAGCAGGACGAGCCCCTGTTTAGCACTGGATTTATGGAGTCCTTAAGGCCATAGTGTAGCTTTAATTCATACTCCATGCTGTGGCATAGATAGGGTTTCCCCCCCTTTATTATCTGTTGTGAAGTAATCACATTTGAGGGCTTCACCCAGTAAAAGCAGATTACTGTGGCAGGGACATAATACAGAGGAAGAGAGAGCGTTTGAAAGGATAATACAATCATAATGTGTTTTATCCCACAATACAGTTGCATTTGCCTTACACATGACATTTGTTGCTTTCCGAGATTATTCTGGTCCTTTAGTGAGAAATGAACCATGCACATTGATTTGAGCAAAAGTTTGGTGATGAATAAAGGGATGTGTGCACATTTCTAAATTAGGATTATTTGCTCGTGTCCCTGTTGTCTCACCTGTGTGCGTGTTGTCTTCTGATGGTTCTCCAAGGGCTCGATCCGCATCTGTGGTCTCGTTGCAGGCAGCGTTTACTATATATCTCTTGTTGATGTTGGTGCACATCTACAGTGTGTATTGTATGCTTGTTGCATCACTGATCCACATATAACAGCATACAGCCTCATGGGTAACACTTTAAGACTGACATGACACCTTATAACCATGACATGACATATGGAAGGTTCATGCATGTTTATGACAACTGTCATTAAGTGTATTTCAGTCAATAATGACACTTTGAATGCAAATATGACATTGTTTAAGATGTCAAACTTATCAAACACAAACATGCATAAAACTTCCTTCATGTTTATAACGAAGGTGTCATGTTAGTCTTATGCACACCCCTTCAAGTAAAGTGTAACCGCCTCATGCAATGCGAGTCCAAATCATTATTTTTTTTTTTTTGTAGACAAAAGCAATGGTCTTTTTAGTTCGTTTTTGTTTTATATTTTACGCTTTTGTAGTAACTGTTGAATATGTGTGTGGCCAAAAAAAAAAGCATTTTGCCACTGAAGTCAAAACTGGATTGTGTTAGATACAAAATACTATATAATTAACCTTCATTTGAATGAATGATTGTGCATGCACTAAACATTTCATAATTTGTTTGGTGTGAAATGATAAGAAATGATGATTTTAAAGGAGTAGTTCACTTTTAAAAATGTCATCCAATATGTCCATGTCATTCTTTCTTCAGTCGAAAAGAAATTAAGGTTTTTGATGGAAACATTCCAGGATTTTCTCCATATAATGGACTTCAATGGGGTCCAAAAGACAGTTTCAGTGCAGCTTCAAAGGGCTTTAAACTACACCAGACGATGAATAAGTGTCCTGGGATAAATCCTGGAATGTTTTCATCAAAAACCTTAATTTCTTTTCGATTGAAGAAAGAAAGACGTGGACATCTTGGATGACATGGGGGTGAGTAAATTATCAGCAAATTTTTTTTTTTTTTAAAGTGAACTACTCCTTTAACGTTGTCCAAGTTAGACGCATTCCTAAGTTTGTTGTTCCTGGAACAACATTTCTGTCCGTAAATTTCAATCTCTACGCCTAAACCTACCCTGCGATTCATAACTTATCGGGAAATGTTGGTGAATAACACGGATGTATAAGCATCTAACCCTGGTTGTAAGCCTAAACATAAACTGTAAACGTGTCCCTCAAATCTGATTGGATGATTGGAATGTTGTTCCAGGATCAACAAAGACGTTAATCCAAGAACATGTTGCACTTGGTGAAATCAGTTTCTGCCATGAATTAGTGGAACTTGAGGACTTATACATCCATTACAATCAACGCATTCTCACCCCAAGGCGTCACCTTTGACCATGCTTCAATATTTGACGTTTTAGGCGCCCTTTAGCGTCACTTACATGACGCGATCCTACGGCGTCATCTAACTGACGCTAAAGGAAAGCGTCAGTTAGAGGACGCGGTTAGGTTTAGGTGTGGGGTGGGGGTAGGGTACACGCGATCCTAGGGCGTCATCTAACTGACGCTAAAGGGCGCCTAAAGCGTCAGATATTGAAGCATGTCCAAATGCTTCCCAAGGCGTCAGTTAGGTGACGCCTTGGGAGTGAGAATGGGCTGTTACAATCACAGAAGCACCAGCTAACATAAGACACTGAGCAAAAATGACTCATAATTGGGGGGAAAAAAACAGTCTAAGTTGGTTTTCTGGTCTCCGCTGGCCAGTAAGATGGAGTGATTTAGAAGGATGTTGAGCACTTGTCATGTGGCCTATCAACTAAACCAGCTAAACCACTTAGCTAGACTGGAAGAGTGATGTGACCTGTCTTTTCAGCTTGAAAAGATGGAATTATTGCTGTGGCATCATTTGTCTGCAGATGACATTTGCTGTAATTGTTTAACCATCTAATGCAATGACATTTACACATTTTTGAGTGTGGTGTGTGTGGCCAAATGAAGGTATGTTTGCAATTCCTCCAGCATCTCTCCACATTATCCAGTGCTTTTCTTTTCTTTTCTTTTCTGTCATTAATACTAATTATGGATTGACATCATCTTTCTATTGAGAAATTAGCTGAAATAACTCAAGCAATGGGCTTCATCTCACAGCTATCAAGGCATGTCCTCCCGAACGTTCTGGCAAGGTTCTCTCAAAGTTATGAGCAAATGTTTGTTCAAAGTTCTTAAAACATTAGCTACATTTTTTTATTATTACATTCATGAAGTTTTTTTTTTCTGAAATGTTTTAATTGGACGTTCATCTAACTCTTTTTTTTAAAAAAGTATCAGGTTTTTTCAGTGAACTTTCAAAAGTAACGTCCCTTTAATGTTTAAAGAATTCTAAAATGGAATGTTTGCCCTAATGTTTGAATAAGAAAAAAACTGTGGGACGTTTGCCACTATATTTTTAAAACAATAATATCTTAGTAAATACCTTAAATAATATTGACAAACTATATATCATTTGAAAGCTTACAATCTCTAGTTTCCATATTTGGTGACTGATTTTCAAAATATATTACAGAGGAGCCATAATTTATCAATATAAAACAAGAATATTTTCATACTCATAAGGCGTGTTCAGACCTTTATTTTAAAATAGCAGTAAACATGAAAAATCATGAAAATATGGTAGATACCTCAGTTTGTTTTCATGCCAAAAGTTCAAAAGATAGAATCCATTCAATTATTTTGGAAAAAAAAAAGGTCTGAAAAGTTTGAAATATCAAGAAAAAAATAATAAATTCACCATTTGTGACGTGGCACGTTTCTTAGAGGTTCAATTCTTTTTAAAATCTGCCAAACTTCCCATGCTACTTCTGAATAGGATCTCTACTTCAGAAATTGTATGAAAATTGTGAAAATAATGGTTCATATCACTCAAAACATGAATGGAAATGCAGGCGCCCTTATATGGGCAGTAATGGAGTCTGATTGTGCCCTAGTGAAAAAGTTTGGTACTGCGCTCAAACAAAATCTTACTGAAAGCTCATTTTTTGAGATATCAACCTAAAATTTGAAACACAACTTGTTCAGATTTTTGGCTTTGATCTTTCTGCCATTTTAGAGTAGCCCAGGTTTTGAAAATATATATTTTATGTAAAATATGAATAATTAATATTTTTTCATTGTACATTTCCATAAACTCAAACTTCTAT